TGTAACCTGATGACTCTGTCCCCTCTGGTGGTACTTGGAAACGTCTCAGGACTGGCAAATATACAAAGCAGTGAGTGTGTGGCCCGCTAGAGCAGCTCTCGCTTCCAGTCCTCAGGCCACGTGAGGGGTCTCCTTCCATGCACTATGCCCCGGTGCTGCAGCACGGGTCCCATTTAGCTTGCTGCAGGGGTCCTGTAAACCTACTTGGGATTCTTACCTCAGACAGTGTAAGCAGGGCAGGGCACATTAAAAAAAGCTGTAAACACTAGAGGCTGCTGGCCCTGAAGAGCTCCAGAAACCAGCAGCAGCCCGTGAAGATCCACACAAACTGGTGGCCAAGAACATCAGAGACTGACAGCATCCACCAGCCAGCCAGTGACAAGCAGCATTGACTGACCACAGTGCTGGGCGTCAACTGCCAATATTTGGCAGAGACCAGTGGAGAATCCCAGAGAGGCAGCAGGAGCCGCTGGGAGAGCTCCAGAAAGCTGCCAACGGGGACCATGCACCTCAGCTTCGGTGGGGCTGACAGAGTGGCCAGGAGCTGCCAAGAGCTGTGGCTCTGGGGCTGAGAGCCACTGGCCCTCGGAGCTTGGAGCTGCTGATGTAGCTGCACTTTGCTGGGTTGTGACTGCCATCCAAACTGAGCATCAGAACCCTCGGCTGAGGGGTGACAAGACCATAAAAGATTAATCATGTAGGGCATTTGGGTAGTGTTGAGTTTGTTCATTTGTTTGCAGTTCTGGGGTTTGTTTGCAGTAGCTGAGATTACAGGCATCTGCCTCTATGCCCACTTGATACTGAGTTTTTGTGTTACTCTCTCTGCAATAGAAAGCCAGCTACATTTTATAATTTAAAAAGTGATACAAATGTATTTACTTTTCAAAAATATTAACCAAGTAGGGCACAGCAGCATGTGCCTATAGTCCTAACTACTCAGGAGGCTGAGGCAGGAGACTTGTTTGAGCCCAGAAGCACAAGGCCTGCCTGAGAAACAACATGAAATTCCAGTTAAAGAAAAAAATACAAATTTTCCTTGCCACTATGATGGAGTAGCTAGTACCTGACTAACTCTTCCACCAAAAGGACCTATGAATTCTGAATATAACTAATAAAAATGACTGGAGCCATTAGAGCACCAAAGCAGCCACAAATCAAGGAGTCATGGTTCCAGACAGAAGGGATATGTGATGAAATGAGCCTGACATTCCAATGCAACTTCTCATACTGCCAACTCTGAAACTATGCTGGGAGAACAAAAACTTGGGCAGAAAATTGCTGCCATGTGGGTACAGAGCTCAAAGGAGAATTTACAGCCTCACAGTATTAGGAAAGCAAGAATTTGAATTCAGGGCCTGACAAGGAGAAAGGAACCACAAAACACCTCAAGCTTTCAGACAAGAGCCAGGAAAAACTATACCCTAGGACTGCGGGCAACTGAAAACAGATCAGCCTCAACTGGATCAAGATGATCTTTCCATACTATACTGGCATGAAAGTATTTAGATCCTTTGTAAAAGAAGATAATACTATCCAGAGAGCAGAAGTATTATAGATAATATGCATATTTTTTATTGTAAAAGTACTAGCCTTGTCAGGAAACATGACCAAAATGATTGAAAATCAAGTGAAAAAAAACCCCTTCAATAGAAGTATGTACCCATAGATGATCCAGATATTAGAGTTGTCACAACTAGACTTTATAGTAACTCTCCAGGCATGGTGGCACATGCCCGTAATCTCAGCCTGAGGCGCCTGAGGTAGACAAATTGGAAGTTTGAGCTCAGCCTGGGCCACTTAGTGACTTAGTGAGGCCCTGTTTCAAAATAAAAAATTAAAAAGTCCTTGAATTGTACCTCAGGGCAAAGGCTCTAGGTTCAAGTCCCTGTACAGAAAGGAAGGAAGGAAAGAAAGAAAGAAAAAGTGAGAGAGAGGGAGAGAGAGAGAGAGAGAGAGAGAGAGAGAGAGAGAAGTTTCCAAAATAAATAAAAAGATGAAGTCTAGGAAGAAATCTAAAAGAGAAATAGAGAAAAAGAGAATCTAATGTAAATTCTAGAATTAAAAAATAACTTGATTGAAATAAAAATTCAGTAGACAGGTTTTACACTGGATTAGACACAAGGGAGAATAGATCAGTAAAAATATCTGGACTAAATTACAGGGGAAAAGTATGGAAATACATAAAAGATATACAAAACATATAGATCACAATGTCTAACAGACACATACTATAGTCTTAGAAAAGAAAATGAGGGGGTTTATGATTTATATCTAGAATCTCTCCCAAAAGGCTCATGTGTTCAGAGGTTGGGCTGTTGGAAGCAGATTGGATCATGGGGATACCACACACATCAGTGGATGAATCTACTGAAGAGTCTGGAGCTGGACGTGCTGTTAGTAACTGGTCTGGTTGGAAGAGGTGGGCACTGGGAGTGTGACCTGGAAGAGTGTATCTCCCTCCCTTGCACCTCCTTTTGCTCTCTCTGCTCCCTGGTCACCATGACCCGAGCAGCATTCCTCTGCCAAACCCTTCCACCATGCGCTTCCTGCCTTGAAGCCACCCAACTATAGACTGAATCCTTGAAAAACTGAGGCAAAATAAGTATCTCCTTCTTTAACTTGTGGGTGTTGGGTATTTTGTCCAGTGACAAGCAAAGTGACTAAAAGACAAGGCTAAACAATATTAAGGAGCTCCTGGCCAAAAATTTTACAAAATTGATGAAAGACATCAACTCAGATTCAAGCTTTAGAAAACTGAAGCATAATAAACCCAAAGAAAACTACACTTTGGATCATCATAATAAAACCTATGAAAACCAAAGACAACGAAGGCACAAATTATCAATATCTGTCATCACAGATCTTACCAATATTACATAGATAAGTGAATATTATGAACACTTTATGCAAATATAGTAATTTGAATCTTGAGAAAGAAATGGGATAAACTCCCTGAAAATCACGATTTGCCAAAAATAATATAGAGCACTTGAATAGTTATTTTTATAAAGGGAAACTGAAAGCTGGGCATGATGGTACACACCTATAATCCCAGAACTCAGGAGGCTGAGGCAGGAGGATTACTGTGACTTTGAGGCCAGCCTGGGCTACATAATGAGTACAAGTCCAGTCTTTACTACATAGCATGACCCTCTCTCAAAATACAAACAAACAAACAAACAAACAAAGTAGTTATCCTTGGCCAGGAATGTAGCTCAGTGGCACAGCATCATCTGCCTGGCAAGCATGAGTCCCTGAATTTGATTCCTAGTACAAAAAAAAAAAAAGTTACCTTTAGAGGGTAATGATTAGGAGAAAATACGATAAAAATTTCTAGACTATGGGCAATATAGTGTGTGTGTGGGTGTGTGTGATGTGTGTGGCATTTCACTAATCCTTCACTAATCCATTACTCCAACTCACTGAGCTATAATTAAAGAGTTGGCATTTTACGTATGTTAAAACTATTCTGGGCCGGGGATTTAGCTCAGTGTTTCCTCTGCCTGCTGGCAAGCACAAGGACCTGAGTTCGATCCCCGGTACCAAAACAAACAAAACTATTCTTAAAATTTCTTTTATTTATTTTTGTATGGGTGGGGTTGAGACAAGGTCTTGCTTTGTAGTGCAGGCTGCCCTTGAATGTACTATGTAGCCCAGGTTGGCCTCGAACTTGTGGCAATCCTCCTGCCTCTGCCTTTTTTTTGGTACTGGGGATTGAACTCGGGTCCTTGCGCTTGCGTGGCAGGTGGTGAAACCACTGAGCTAAATCCCCAGCCCATGGCTCTGCCTCTTGAGTGCTAGGACTGCAGGCATGGGCCACCATGCCTGGCCTAAAAACATTCTTTTAGATTTTACAATATAATCCAGCTCTCAAAAGTGAAGGAAATGGGGCCAGGGATTTATCTCAGTGGCACTGCATCTCCCTTGCAAGTGCAAGGTCCTGAGTTTGACTCCTGGTACCCCCCCCAAAAAAAAATAAAGGAAAGAACAAAAATTCCAAAGGAATAAATTGAAAAGTGATAGAATGCTAACAAAGCTAGGGTATTCACCACTTGCAGCCTGTACTGAGAACACCCTTGACATCCATTCTTATTGAACTGCAATAAGTTCTCATGAGCCTGGGGTGGTGGTGCATGCCTGTAATCCTAGCTTTTGGGAGGCTGAGGCAGGAGGAATACCATGAGTTTGAGGCCAGCCTAGCATCTACAGTGAGTTCAAAGCAAGCCTGGACTACAATGCAAGACTGTCTCAAAATAAAACAAAAACAAACAAACAAAGACCTCATGAGGTAGATGTTATTTTTCCCAATTAAGAGAAGAAGCTGAGATTTAGAGAGCTGAAGTCACTTCCCAGGTCACATAACAGTGGCATCAGTGGCACTAGGTTTTCCTGATACCTCTTTCACTTTTAACCACTAAACATGCCACCTGCCGAACAGGTTCTTTTCCAGGAGTTAAACAAGCCAACATCGAATACCCAAACTAATAACTACCAATTAACTTCTGGAAGCCTAGGATTAGCACAAGTCTTCACGGTAACCTAAGAAGCCAGTATCATCTTCATTTCCAGGAGGAAAACTGAGGCTCAGGGAAGGTAAGTCACTGTTCGAAGGTCACAGCTTTTTTTTTTTTTTTTTTTTTTTTTCTTTTCCAGAAGTAGAGACTGAACCCAGGGAGTATGAAACTACATACATCTACATCCCTTTTTCTTTTTTTTTTTTTTTTTTTGAGACAGTCTTGCTAAGTCTTTAAATTGGCCAGCCTGGGTTCGAACTTGTGATCCTCTTGCCTCAGCCTACAGGGTGCTGGGATTACAAGCATACATGCTACACACCCTGAACCCAAATATCCTTCTTGGGGTTCAATTTGGGATATAGCCCTCTTCCTCTAACCATAAAAGTTAAGTAGGGTTTTTCCCCCCTACTCTCTCCAAAAAGGAATGAACGCAAAGATTTGGAAGTAAAGCTTTCAAGGTATTTATTACTACAAAGGTGCTAAGCGGACCGAGGGTGGGCCACCAGGCTGGACATCATTGTGACGGTGCCATGAGGCCTGGCCTGGAACGAAGGACAGTGAGGGCACGGGTCGAGGGCCGATAAGAAGAGCGGGGTGGACAGAGTTCCTCAGTCTAACTTCCCCTTACTCGGTCCTATTTCACCAAAGCTGAACAGAAGAACGTACCACGACGGACTAAATGACCTGTCTGCGCCACCAGACAACCCCTGCAGCGGTCCAGCGCTTCGCTAGTGCGCACACGCCCGCCCCAAAGGGCTGAGCGCGCCTCCCGGACAGCCATACGCATGCGTGACCGCGGTGTCACAGGTAACGGATGAGAGCGCGGCGCTCCTACCTTATTGTGCGCCTGCGCGGGGGGAGGAGTCCGGGAGGGGCGGGGCGGGGCGGGGCTTAGAGACGCGTGCTCTCGGCGCCGCTGAATGCGCTGGACTTTTTGGAGGGAAAGGCGCGTGCTCCCCTGTCCCAGTCTGTGCGCAACCGCCGTTCCTCGCTCGTGGCCTTCAGCTGTGTCCAGGTACACTTTGCCCATGGCACAGTTGCCCAGAGCAGCCCTGTCAGAGCCCATCTGAAATCTTGGCAAGGCCCCCAGGTTGTAAGAGACACTTCACCAAACTTAGGGGCTTTTGGAAACCTTACCCAAATTCCCTCAGAAATGCCACAAGGAAACCCACTAGGAATCGTGCCAAGTGACCCCTGAAATTCTCTCAGAATCTTCCAGAAATTCTGGCACGCTTCTCAGAGCCCATTAGAGTTTCCCTGAGAAGCTTAGAGACCCCCCTCCCCCAATCCTGTCAGAGACGTGAAAATCTGTGGGAGACTCGGAAACCGAAGACCCCCATATCCAACCAGATACACCCCCCAAGTCTTGCCTCCCCAAAGCTCCACCTGGGACCTGCTCTTGCCAGGCTCCATGTCTGTCTCCCCAGCCAGGCATGATGACAAAGGCCTGTAATCCCAGCACTTGGGTGAGCCTGAGGCAGGAGGGTCGACATAAGTTTGAGGCCAGCCTGGGCCACATAGAAAGATCCTGGCTCAAAAAAACAAACAAAAAGTCCCCTCAGACCCCTCCAGTGAAAGGGTCCTCCCTGGTCCCTTAGGATATTGTCCCCTGACCCCAGGCTTGTCAGGACCCTCAAAGGACACCCACCTGGGGCCTTGGGCATCATCTGCCATGCCCATCCAGGGCTCCTGGACAGGTCTTGTTCCAAAGACCCCTTTTCCAGGACCCACTAAAGCCCACTGAGAAGCTGCAGCTGGCAGATTGGGTCTGTCACCAGAGAGCAGGGCGTTGAGGGCACTGGATGAGGAAAGGGAGAGGACAGACAGGCCTGGCCACCCTCCTTGGCTTTTTCCTAGATGCTCCTCAGCCCCAGGGGTGCTGTGGCCTGGTGTAACTGCTATGAACCCCCTTTTCTCTGAGGAAAAGTGCCCTGGAGTTGGGACACTAAGTGGAATGGTCAACCTGGTTATGATGGTGGTGGAGCAGGACATGGTCAGGGCACAAGGGAGGGAGTCCCTCGGTCTCCAGGGTCTCCAGAAAGCCTTCCCAGAAGCCTGAGAGCCTGGAATGAGGCCACTGACAGCAGAGGTGCGGGGTGGGGCTGGGCCTGGGGGCACTCAGGTGCCACGCTGAGCTGGGCCCCGAGAGTAGCAACTTTGGGGGATGATGCTGAGTTCCCATGGGCCACAGAGGGAGGGACTTGGGGATTGTCAGGGAGAGAGAAAAGTGACAAGCAGCAAAAAGCTTCAGGGACCCCTGTGTTTGTCACTCCAGCATGAGTATCCAGAGGTACTCAGGAGCCAAGGGAGGGACAGAGGGTCAAACTGGTACGAGAGGCCAATGGTCTGAATACGAGATAAAATAACAAGAATGCCAGCTCCAGAGCTAGGCACAGTGGCGCTTGCCTGTAATCCCTGCACTCAAGAGGCTGAGGCAAGAGGATTGTCTCCAGTTGAAGGCCAGCCTGGGCTACATAGTGAGACCCTGTCTCAAAAGACAAACAACAACAACAACAAAAACAAAAGAATGTCAGCTGCCAGGACCAGACGCACCTTGTCATGGGTGCTGGTGAGAAACGTTTTTCAGAAAACAAGAGACAGGAAAGCAAGGCGGATGTGCCAGGCAGAGACCAGAGATGGGGACATTTGGACCACTTTGAGGAACAGGGTGCAGTTCAGAGCTGCTGGAGATTTCAGGGTGATTTGGGGAGGGGAAGCAGGTGGCCATACTGGGCCTTTGTTGGCAGATCCGATCAGACTCTGTCCTTGGTGCTGGGGAACCTTGCAAGGGGAGGGCAGTTCAGCTCCGGAGCCCCGAGGGAGTTGCCTAGAGAGGGGAGAGGTCAGGCATGAGGCCCTCTGGGGCAGGAGTGCGGGAAAGAAGGCTATAGGGTAGTCAGGTAGGAGGGATGGGGCTGGACACATGACAAGCCAGGGGAGTAAGAATCACCCTGATTCCCTAAGGGGAGTAGTGGCCCCCACCCACTACCCCCCTTTGATCCCTGCCACGCACTCCTGAGGTCCTGTTTTGCCAACCATAAAACAGGCCAGAGCAGGAGCTGTCCAGTGTGGGCAGAGCTGGCAAACAGGTTCTAAGAACCCAGATGGCCTGGGCACAGAAGGGAGGGTGGGTCCCCACCCAAGGGTGGCTGGACTGAGAAAGCCATGGCTTGCTTGACCTTCCAGGCACTCTGGGCTGCTGGTCCCTTTCCCGCCCCTCCCAGGCGTGAAGAGCAGCTGGTGGCCTGGCTGAGCCGAGCGTGACCCATGGACCTGCCAGAGAGCCAGGCTGGCGGCCCGGCTGCAGAAAGTAAGTAGCTGGGCCCCTGTTGTTCCCAGAGGAGGTAGCTGAGGCACCTGAGCATCAAGCTGAGACCCGGGGACTCAGAGAGGTGGCTTGGGTGGCTGTGCAGGGTGGGCAGGGGGAGTTGTGCTGGACTGGGTACCTACTCTGTGCCAGCTACCTGTCTCCACTGCTCATGCGCTCTGGGGAGGCCGTGCACCCACCCGGAGCAGCCTTCCCCTTGCCCTCACACTACCCTCTCCTTTCAGGGCACTGCCTGCCAGCACCTCTTACTGTAGTGCAGCAGCAGCCCCGTCATGCTCTCTCCCTTCCTTGGATCACTTCTCTTCGAAGCACTGACATCTGTTGTGGTCTGTTCAGTCTTTGTCTCCCTGTAGAACATGAGCTTCCACAAAGCTGAGGCTGTCTTATTCCCAGTTCCTAGAGACCACTGTCCCATAGAAGGGTCAATGAGTCACATATGTAATTCTTTGTGGGGGGCGGGTACCGGGGATCGAACGCGGGACCTCGTGCTTGCGAGGCAGGCGGCAGAACCACTGAGCTAAATCCCCAACCCCTACATATGTAATTCTTAATTATTTTAAAAGGAAAAAAAACAAGAAAGGCAAATGGTAATAATAGATTTTTTATCCTTATACATCTAAACTATCTTCTGCTATTACCAGTATTAAAATGTACTGAGACTTTCCTTGCAAATGAAGTAGTTAAGATCCAGTGTGTTTGACACCAACAGAGCACCCCAGGTCCCATAGCCCCAGCTCAGGTGCTCAGGAGCCACATGTAGGAGTTGGCATACTGCCTGACTGAGCAGGAACCGTCACTGTGTCTGTGTCAAACACATGGATAGATTCAGAGCTGCCTTCAGGGGAAGGTGCTGGGCCACCACTCCCGCCCTTAGGGGAGCCCATTCTGACAGGAGAAGCAGGGCACCTTCCTCGGAGGCTCCCTGGTGTCCCCCAGCACAGCCTGCAGCTTTTCCAGAGGCCAGGCCTGGCCACCACAAGAGGCTCTCCAGGTAGAGGGTCACAGGCCCACACCATCCACTGAGGAAAGTCGAGCTGACCAGCCTGAGACTGCCAGCTAAATGTCACCTGTGCCGGCAGAGGGCGTGCAACCACCAGGAACCACAGGCAGGGGCTGGGCCAGCTTGGGAGGCTCCCACAGCAAGGGGAAGACACACCCAGAAGGTGACCAAGACGGGGTGGCAGAGGGATGGCAGGCACAGAGGAAGGCAGGAGAAAGAGACAGGGACAGAGGAAGATGAAGAGGCTGGGAAGAGAGTTGCCAGGATATGGGTGGAGAGACGGAAAACAGGCCAGGGACAGGGAGACAGGCAGGACATGGGAAGAGAGAGACAGGAAAAGATGGAGAGAAAGATCAGAGAGAAAAGTGGACATGAGGCAGGGACAGAGAGAGAGACACTGAGTGAGGAAGCGAGATCCTCAAAAGCAGGACAGAGACAGTAACATGTCCCTCAGGGGCCTGGGAAGGGATTGCAAATGTGTGGGTCCCCAGAGCTCCCACCGACACCCAGCTCAGCTCGCCCCTGGCCAACAACTGTGACAGGTAACCTTGCTGGAGCACCAAGTCCCCATCCGTAACACAGGACAGAGAGGGGATGCAGGTGAAGCCCTGCTTCCCTACCCTCGCCTTCCCACTCCCCACGATTCTAGCTAGCAGGGGCCAGTTGTGCTCACAAGGAGTTAGGAGGTTGGGAAAGGGGATGCCCATGCTGGACAGGGGACCCTGAGCAAGTTCCTAAATCCTCTGTGCCTCAGTGTCCTCATCTGTAAAGTGAGGCTGAGGAGAGCCAACTCCTCATATTCATGTGAGGGCCCAGAAGAGGCCTGACACCTATTAAATGCTCGGAAGTATCCACTCTGTCAGCAAGTCTCCCCCAAGTGTCAGGCCTTCCACCTGGCCTCTCAGATTCCACAGCATCCTCCCCTAGGAAAATAGCACCGCCCCATCCCCCAGGGGAGCAGCTGAGGCTCAGAGTCCCATGTTCAAGCTGGAGCCCAGGTTTCCCAGCCCTGCAGCCACTGCCAGCTGCTGTCTGGGGACCTGGAAGATCTCTGGGGTCTGGGAGAGCAGTGGGGACAGCCCCATGGAGATCTCTTCCTGTGTCATGAACATGTATGAGGGCCTGCTGTGTGCAGGCAGTGTGGACCTAGCAGTGAACAAGCAGCCCCTCAGGACATACATGCGCCCTCAAACATGCACACGTGCCCTCCCAGGCCTGGTAACTGGCAGTCGCTCTCCCCACCCCCCCCACTTTACTGGTGTGGTGTTGAGGCTCCAAAAGGAGAAGGAGCTTCACCACAGAGGTACAGACAGCTTGAAGCCAGGTCTGCCTGGCATGCAGATCCAGCTCCTGATCACAGATACACCCCCCCGAGTCGCCACTGCCCACCCTGCTGGGATCAGCCACCCCTCTGCATCCTGAGGCTCTGGCCCAGGACTCTTAAGGCTCTGGTGACGCCAGCCTTGCCTGGGAATTCAGGGAGGAGAGAGACCTGGTCCCTGGAGCCAGCTGGGAGACCGGAGATCCAGCCAGTGGGATCGATCCAGGCTGCCCACACTTTATCGGATTGTTCCTAGGGTGGGGTGCGATGGGGGTGCTCAACCTCCGCTCCTCCCAGAATCCTCCCTTCTTTGTCCGCCCCCATGCCTGGCCCGCTCTGACCCCGGCTAGCTGACAAGGGTGGAGAAGTGAGGAGGCCTGGGTGATCTTAGGGTTTGTTATCTACTCCCAAGCCCACTGGACAGGGAGCAGAGCAGGGACTTCCTGGGCTGAAGGACGGGATTGGGGGGGACTCAAAGACCATTAGGTCTCCCACACACACCCAAAGCTCCACTGTTCCCCACCAGCCCCAGCCACAATTGAATCCCCTCCTGTGGGAGCCTAGGGGTGAAGGACAGTGTCACCCTCTTCCTCTCTGCTTTCTGACTGGGGACCTCGCACTCTTGTCTCCTCAGTTTACCACCGGGAGCAGCCGGAAGACATGAGCCTGGGGCCACTGCTCAGCTTAGAGGAGCAGATACTCAACTCCACGTTTGAAGCTTGTGACCCTCAGAGGACAGGTGGGAGGCGGAGGCTGGGCACAGTGGGAGCAGGATGAGGATGGGAGACAGAGTGAACTGGGCGAGGGCTCCTCCTTAGGGTCCTGTAGGAACAAAGCCGGTGACTGTGGGAAGCTTCATTCAGGAAAGAAGAGTATAAGGGGATGAGGTGAACCTGGGGACCGTGATCGGAAGAGGGCAGGGCTTTGAAAGGGGCTTGGTGGGGCACAAGGGTGGTGCCCCTCAGTTGTCCTCATTGGTCTACTTGGTGAGTTGGGGGGACTAGGCCCCATTTCCAGGTGGAAAAGTTGACTCAGTGGAGAGAAAAGGACTTGCCCAGTGTGTCCCCCCAGGCTGTGGGGCAGGGATGCCATCAGCCTAGCCAGCTATGTCCTGCACCCACACTACACCTGGCCCCTCTATGCCACCCCCCTCATGGCGTGCTCTGTCCCAGGCACTGTGGCTGTCACCCATGTGCTGGCCTACCTGGAGGCTGTGACTGGCCAGGGCCCCCAGGACGCACGCCTCCAGACATTGGCCCAAAGCCTGGACCCCAACGGGGAGGGCCCTGGGGCCACTGTGGACTTGGACACCTTCCTGGTGGTCATGCGTGAATGGATTGCTGCCTGTCAGCTGCATGGGTGAGCCCCTGTACCTCCAACCTCTTCTGGGAAGTCCTTCCCCAAATCTAACCTCACACCTGGGAACTGCAACAGCAGCAGTTAGGCCTAGGAAGCCACTGAGGAGGAGAGAAAAGTGAAGAGATGGGGTGGCAGTGAGTAGGTGGGGTCTGAGGACAAAATGCCTTGGATGAGGAGGCATGTGGGGTCTTCGAGGGCAGGAGAAGGGGAGAGCTGGGAGGCTCACAGGCCCTCCCCATCCCCTCCCAAACCCAGTCCCACCCCTCCTGCTTTCCCATCTGGCCCTGGGCACTCGCCATCTGGCCTCACCTTCCTCCCCACAGGGCCTTGCTCACCTGACCTGGCCCCTCCCCGTCCAGCCACAGCCCCCTTCAGGGGCAGGTCAGGATGGTGGGGTGGCTGCAGGGGGCCCTAAGCCTCATCCCTTTGATACAGGGGATTAGAGCTGGGAGAGGAGACCGCCTTTGAGGGAGCCCTGACCTCCCCGCAGCTGCCATCTGGTAAGAGTGCTATATATAGAGTGAAGCAGGTGGGCCCAGGGTCAGCCAGTGGGGGGACTTCCCTCGGGGCAGAGCAGGGGATAATGTGTGACCAGGACCTCTGCTCTCACCTGGAGCTGTGATGTGGCTTTCTAGGTGCCTGTGTGCCTGCCACCCCATCTTCTGGAGCTTTGGGGTTGGGTTTCTTCCTCTGGGAGTTTTTTTTCTTTTTTTCCTGGGGTTTTTCAACTCCTCCTGCCAACACCAGCCCTCTGATAGAAGCCTGCAGGGGACCACCCACCACTCCATACTCTCGAGTACCCCAGGGCTCCCTGCCACACAGGTTTCACCTGGGCCTGTGGCCAGGCTGTTTTCCAGCCAGATTCCCTGCACCTTCCTCAGCCCTGAGCTGCCCGGGCCAGTGGCCCTTGCTCTCTCCACTCACTCGGACGTGCACACTTTCCCTTGGGGCGCAGCTGTCACCTGCTCGCCCCTGCACTCCTGTTGGGTTAGTGGATGTGCTCATCGCCCTGTGCCCAGGACCTCACACCTAGGAGGTGCTCCATGAACAGTGGCCCGGTCCTGGATGTACCTCAGCGGTAGAGCACTTACCTAGCGTGGCTGAGGCCCTGGGTTCTATCACCAGCCCAGAAAAGGGAGGAGGGCATTGTATTTCTCCATCCTTACAAAGCCAAAAGTGTAAGTTTCTTGACATCCTCTTGAGCCTTCTTCGTGAACTCAGACCCAGGGGAGGGCTGTGAGCCCACAGGAACAAGCCAGGCAGCACTGGGCCAAGAGAGAAAGGACAGAGGGAAAGACTGGAACCCAGCGGGCTGGAGAAGAGGCTGGGGGGAGAGGGCCAGGGACAGCATGGGGACAGAGAAGAGAGGATGGAGCAGACAGCTGGGGTAGGGGACAGGCCCAAGCTGCCACAAGAGAAGGAAGAAACCAGAGGGGCCCGGTGGCTGGAGGCAGGCAAGAGACCTGGGAAGGGAAATGGGTTTGGGGAAGTTGGGGTGCTGCGCAGTGAATGGTCTGAGGAATGAGGAGGGGGGTTATCCAAAGTACCCAGCCTGAGGCCTTTTCAGTGGGAGTAACTGCAACCCTGGGAGTGCAGGGAGGCCCAGGGCAAAGGGGAGGGTGGAAGTTGCACCCAGCGTTGAAGGTCACCGTGGAGCCCAGCCCACTCTTGTCTGTCCCCCTCCAGGATGCCTGGAAGCTGAGGAGCCAGCCAACCTGGAGAGCTTTGGAGGCGAAGACCCCAGGCCCGAGCTGTACCTATCCTCAGACACCGCACCACACACATACACCACCACCACCACCCCCGGGCCCTGTGCTCTCCAGCTGCCCCGGCTGGGTGGGGTTTGATGCCCTCTGGTGACTAACGTGGGTGAAGGACAGGGGCCTCGCTAAGCTCAGGGAAAGCAGAGAAGCTAAGCTCCTCTTTCTGCTTCTCCAGAGCAGCCCCATCTCCCACCACTGGCACCCACTGACCTGGGAGAGGGTGGGGGGCAGCGGTGGTGACCCCTCCCTCCTTGCACCCCCCAGGCCAGCCACCACTGATCTGCTGAGCAGCCTGGAGGACCTGGAGCTCAGCAACCGGCGCCTGGCCGGGGAGAACGCCAAGCTGCAGCGCTGTGTGGAGACAGCCGAGGAGGGGTCCGCACGGCTTGGGGAGGAGATCCTGGCCCTGCGCAGGCAGCTTCGAAGGTGGGCTGCGCACCTGGCTGCCTCCCACCTCCACGGCCCCAGCCCCAGTCTCACCTGCATCTCCTGCTCAGACCTTTGACTGTACCTGTACCTTTGTTGTCTTTCTGTCTTTTAGCTTTCTCTTTCATGTCTCGGTATTTCCTATGCCCCAGCATTTCTGTTTTGGTCTATCTTTTCCTTTAAGTGTGGTCCCCCCCACCTCCCACTCATGATCAAACCCAGTGCCTTCACAATGAGCTACATCCCCAGCTAGAGTGTCATTGTGCAGCTTAGGCTAGCCTTGAGCTCCTGATCCTCCTGCCTCAGCCTCCCAAGGGCTGGCCTGACCAACATGGACTCCTCTATTCTCTCTGATTCTGTGTCATTGCCCTTGTCCTTCCTTTCTGCTTGTTGTGCCCCATGTCTGTCCTCATGGTCCTGCTCTTTCAGTCTCCCACTCTTTGGTCTCTGTCCCACCTCCTCAGTCTTTAGGTTGAAACTGGGTCTCTGTAGCCCCTGCTAGGTCCTTCCTGGCCTTTTCTCTCTGGGTCTCTGTGCCCTCCCTGTGTGTGTTGGTCTGCCCCACTCTGAGTATCTGTCACCACCCTCCCACTGTGGCATTTCTCTGGCTGCTGTCTGTCTGATGGATCTCTCTGCACCTCTGCCCTCCCCTCCTCACGTGGCTCCCCTGGCCCTGCCTACTCAGCACACAGCAGGCTCTGCAGTCTGCCAAGGCCGTGGATGAGGAGCTGGAGGACTTGAAGACTCTGGCCAAGAGCCTGGAGGAGCAGAATCAAAGCCTCCTGGCCCAGGCCCGGCAGACGGTGGGTGCTGGGCCCCTTCCCGCCTTCCTGGAGTCAAAGCAGTTGCTCCAGGTCCTGCTTGCTTTCTCGGCCCTACCTACCACCCTCATGACAGTGACAGCAGGAGCCGTTCTGCCTGCCCTGGCTTGGGTTGGGTTGGATTGGATTTTGAGTCAGGGTCTTGCCATGTAGTTCAGGCCGGCCTGGCACTCACAGCAATCCTGCTCCCTCAGCCTTCTGAGTGCTGGGATTATAGTCCTGTGCCAACACACCCAGCTCCCAGCCCTGTTCTTTAATGACCCAGGCCAAGGAGGGGAGCTCTGGGGTCAGAGAGGCGGAATTGAAGCACTTGTCCTCTCTGGGCTTGTTCAGGAAAAGGAGCAGCAGCACCTGGTGGCAGAGGTGGAGACCCTGCAGAAGGAGGTGAGCCAAGGCCCAGCACCACCTGTCCCCCTGCCACCCCCACGCCCCTGTAGCCTGCAGCCTAAAACTCCAGCCTGCAGGCGAGACCGAGGCATCCCAACAGCACGTGAGCGCCCTGAGTGACATCACACAAAGTAAGAGCTGCACAGTTGACAAGAGCATGGGCTGAGGCACGTGCCTGGCTCCCCTGAAGCACCTAGGTGGCCATGAGCCATTGTTCCCCTTGCTGTGGCTCACTGTCCTCACATGCAGAGGAGTGAAGCAGAAGATACAGGGAGATGTGGAGGACATGCTTGCTAGGCATTGGCTAGCATAGTTTATGTTAGCACTGCTTATGGTAAAAATAACATGGGCTCTGAAGTCAGCCCTGAGTTCGGATCCCACCTCTGCCACTTACATGACAGGCAACTTTTAGGCATGTGGCTTATCCTTTCCAAGCCTTGTTCTGTTTTGCGGTACTGGGGATGAAACCCAGAGCTCTGCCCCTGGGCCGCCCCTCAGTTGCCAAGCTTTAGTTTCATTCTCCAAGAACCGGTGAGAAGACAGCTGTTCTGTAGGGCGGTCAGCATTCCTGCCAGGGCTCCCTACCTTGGCGAGTAGCTTCAGCCCCATGTCTCGTCCCAGCCCCATTTCATTTGACAGAAGACGGCATCTTAGTTCATTCTGGGCCCACCTAGTTCTTGTAGCTGAAACTGGAATTCATCACTGCTGCCCAATCCTCCCCCCACAAGGTGGCATCACTGCAAGGGATCCACCCAGGGCCCTAGTGCTCCAGGAAACAGCAGGTCCTCAGCAGGTGTCTGTCCTCTCTGCTCCTCAGGAGATTCAAGATCTTTGTCCCATCTGTTCACGTTGCGGGGAGGCCTGCTGCCTGCCATCTCTGCTCTCACAGTCCTCACTGCATCTGCTGGTGGCGCCCACTGCCATCTCCATGCCCTTCCAAGGCCCTGAGCCACGTGGGGCCTCCCCAGCGGGCTGCATACGGCCATCACTCCTGCCCGTCCGTGGATCTGAGCTGGGCTGAGCAGGGCTTGGAGCAGCTCAGACTCCCTCTCTTCCCAGGGGCTCTGCATTGTGTCCACCCCTGCACCCTGCACAGCTAAGGGGCCTGGGGTGGCTCAGGACTCGTTTTCAGTCTCCTGCTTTTTTTTCCCCTCCAGTATTGAGGATTGAGCACAGGACCTTTGCACTAAGGTACATCTCCAGCCTTCTTTTAACGTCTTTTTAAATTTTGAGACAGGGTCTTGCTAAGTAGACCAGGCTGAACTCCAACTTGTGATCCTCCTGTCTCACCCTCCCAGGGTGCTGGGACTACAGGTGTCCGCCACCACAGCTGGTTTCCCGCTGCTTCTGGACACTGCAGCACACTCCCCCAGCTCTAAGCATCTCTGCCTAATCTGGGCTGATCGTGTATTGCTGCTAAAGCTCTTAGCCCTGCTACAGGGTTTCTGTTTTCCACTATTCTGTGACTCTTCTGTGAGCCCCGGCTTGGGACACTGGGAACCGCACAGGTGGCCACCACAGTGTGAGGCCTGGAGCAAGGACAGGATGTGATGGTTTCTTCCAGAACAGCTTTTCTGAGAGTGAGGGAAAGGTTTTTCCTGGCAGCACCCTCTTCCTCACATCTCACAGCATCTGAGCATTATAGCTTGTAGCCAGATCGCTCCCTGACAGGGATAACCTGAACACTGATGGGTCCAGAACATTTTCAGCTCCAAGGAAGAGGACCTCTGAGGAAATGGTGGCTTCCACTGAAGGACGCTCATTTTCTTAAGAGGTTCTGAATGATGTGGTCTCTGGATTGGGTTCAGGCTCACTGGCCTTCTCACCTGCCTCTAGCCTCATGGTCACAAGTGGCTGCAAGAGCTCCTGACCTCACATTCTCATTCAAAGCAGGGAGAAAAGGCACCAGGAAATACATATCGAATGGCTCCTCACACATCTGAAGGAAGAGCTTTTTCCAGATGCCTGTTTCCCCACTCAATAGACCTCTCTAGTATGTCACTGACTGGAAAGGGATCACATAACACCCCCTCAACTGCAAAGGAGGATGGGAGAGGATCTGACCTTTAACCCCTAGGATATGAGGCAAATAAGCAAGAAGGGGCAAGAATGGCTGCTAGGTCCTGAATCTGCCAAGATACTGCTCTTCATTCACCTCCAGGCCCGGGGCTGGGACTCCCCGGCCCTGACAGGAGAGTGGACCCTTGAGGACCACAGAAGTGACAAGCAGGGGAGTGGCAGCCAGCAGTCCCTGCCCCTCCCTGTGCAGAAGGCCCTGCCAAGAGCACGCCTCAGCCAGCAGCGCTGGACATCCTAGCACTCGATCCATAAGCTGGAGCTATTCTCGGTCACCATTCTCACCGCAGCTTCGTTTGGAACAGCTATAGATTGAGTTCTCGGGTTACCACTGGGGAGCATAATGCGTAACGTGACACTCAGCTCTGAAGGGCCGCAGCCTCCCGAAGGAGGACTCCGGGCTGGCTCGGGTTTCGGCAGGAGCAGCTGAGTAACCACGCCCCACAGAGGAGCCGGGATCTGGCCTGCAGTCCCCACCAGGTGGACAGATGTTGACACAGCACTCCCACCGTCCTTCCTCCGCCCTTCACCTGGCAGCCCAGACCCGCTGAGACTCAGCGAGGGCGGCTGATGGAGGACTTGGAGCCCGGCCGGCAGGAGCAAAGGCAGAGGGAACTCAGAAGGAGGGCTGTGCTAGAGGGAACTCAGCTGCCTGTGCTGCCACCGAACGCATCTCCTGCAACTGCTTCAGCTCTGCAGCTTGGGAGGTTTACGGTGCACAGAAACATTAGACTCCAATTTGGGCTGGGTTGGTTGGGGGTTTTTGTTGTTGTGGTTTTTTTGTATCAGGAATTGAACTCAGGACCTTGCTCTTGCCAGGCAGGCGCGGTGCCTCAGAGCTAAATCCCCAGCCCATTGGTTGGGTTTTTTTGTTTTGGGTTTTGTTTTTTTGTGTGTGCTTTGTTTTGGTTTGGCAGTACTTGGGTCCTTCACACTGAACTACATCACCAGTCCTTTTCTATTTTTTATTTTGAGATAGGGTGTCACCAACCTGCTAAAGTTAGCCCAGGCTGGGCTTGAACTTGTGATCCTCCTGCCTCAGCCTTAGAGTGCTGGCTGTTTCATTCTCAGGTCCCATTCTGCAGCTGGCATGGGCTGCCCTCTTCAGGCCTCCTTGCCTCCTCTCATCTCGGTTCACCCTCAGAGCCGCAGAGGGCCCCCTCAGGCCCACCTCTGCCATTTGCTTTGGCACCCTCCACTGGGGCCATCTCTGCTCTCCCGGAGCTGCCTGTGGCTGGGGTGAGGCTGCTTCCCTCCGTACCCAGTTCTCAGTCAGCACTGTTCTGACATGGAGAGTCCAAGGTTACAGACGTGGGATCTGACCCCACATCGTGGGTTTGCATCCACTTCCCCTCCAGTGAGCTTGGCCAGGTCCTTATCCCGCTCCCCTCCGTGGCCTCTGTGGAGTTGGGAGGGCTATGCTGTTGTAGCTGGGGAACATTGCACGTGAGCCCTGGACCTGCCCGCCTGCTGGTGGCAATGCTGAGAGTGGCGACCGTCACCACTGGGAGCAAGAATGATGCTAGCCACACCCAAATGCACCGATTCCTCAGGACAGATGCCCTGGCTTCGGCCACAGACGAAGGGCCCAAACAGGACCTACCAAGAGAGATTTCTGTTAGATTAAAAGAGATGACACACTTCAACCAAAACCCATGACAGTCCTTGTTTTGATCCTCTCTCAGACTAAGCCGGGTGTGGTGGCACATGCTTGTTATCCCAGCGCTCAGGAGGCTGAGGCAGGAGGATCCTTGGGAGTTCGAGACCAGCCTAGGCTACACAGGAGATTCAGCACCAGCCTGAGCTACATGCTGAGACCCTGTCTCCAAAAAAAAATTGTAATACAAAGTATCTGAATAAATATGTACTGAGTATTTATCAAGCACTGGGGACACCGTTAGAAATGTCTGTGCTCAGTAGCATTCATCAACACGTGTTGGCATGAAGACCACCTGTGTAATGGGGCATGTTGCTTGGCCTGTCTGTGGCTGAGTTGCCTTTATCTTTAAAATGGGGGCTTAGAACTGAGCTGACACGTGAAGTGCTCAGTAAGTGTTCGAAATTCCTAGTAGCTCATTTAACCCTTATAACAACTCTATGAAGTAGGTCCTTTCTGTCTTGCTCCCCCGTCCCCCCACTCCCATATTGAGGATTAAAAGCAGAACCTAGTGCTCTACCTCTGAACTGCATCCCCCTCCCTTTTTGAGACCAGTCTCACCTAACTTGCTCAGGCTGCACTCAAACTTGGGATCCTCCTGCCTCAGCCTCCCCAGTAGCTGGGATTATGGGTGTGCACCACCACACCTGGCTCCCTTTTGATTGAGCTGAAGTCCCCCTGAGATGGTGGGGGATTGAAAGGCCACACATAAAGTGAATGCTTAGTGTGAGACTGACACCCGAGTTTTCAGTGCATGCCAGCTGTGAGCATCAGTGTCACCATGCGCTGAAGCCCCCTGTCCTGTGTACTGTTCTCCAGAATGGGAAGCTGCTTGCCGAGCGGGATGGAGTGAAGAGGAGAAGTGAGGAGCTGGCCACAGAGAAGGATGCTTTGAAGGTGCTGCTTCTGCCCGATGCCAGACAGCTCCCCCTTCAGGGCCACTGTCACCATCCCAGGCTCTTCTGTCAGGGTCCAGCTCCCCAGCTGCAGGCAGCCCTGCTGAACCCCCTCAGGGTAGCCTCAGGGGTGTCACAGGAGGCCAAGGAGAGGCCCCAGGAGAGGGGGACATGCAGGGGACAAGGCCAGGGTGTCCCGGAGGCCGAGAGATGGACAGGCTCCTTCCTTGGCAGCGGCAGCTCTATGAGTGTGAACGCCTCATTTGCCAACGGGACGCTGTTCTCTCAGAGGTGAGGGCCAGGGAGGGAAGTGTTTGCCCTCCTTGCTCATCTGCCCGTCTCCTGTCTGCCCCAGAGAGGTCGGAAGGTGCCCCCATGGGGATCTGGAAGCCCCTCTGCCCTGGGCATCCCCTCTCAGCCCCCATCCAGTCCCCCATGAGCAGCAGCCTGTTTCCGGGGGCCTGGGCCCAGGCTCAGCAGGCTTTGTGCTTCCCTAGCACGCGCTCCACACGGAGAGCCTGGCCCAGACGGTGGAGGAGTACAGGGCCACCACACGGGTGAGGGCTCCCCACAGCCGCCATCGCAGGGACCTGCTGCCTCCCCTCCCTGCACCTCTCTCTGCCTCTGTCCAGCCAGCTCCTTTCCAGCCCGCACAGTGGGCCTCTTCCAGCCCTGCTGTGCAGCTGTCTCTCCATTTCCTTCTCTGCCTTTTGTCTCTCTTCCTCCCTTCCATCGTCCATCATCCATCTCTGCCCTCTCGGGCCGGTTCCCTGCAGTGCTGTTCTCTGCCTCTAGGTCGAGTCTATGTCCCTGGGCCCCTGTCTTTGAGTCTCTCACACCCCGTGTGTTTCTCGCCCCTCAGTGAGGCATCTGTAGCATCTGCACCTCGCTCTTCCAGGGACCCCACCTCTGCCTGCCTTCCCATACTCTTCCTGGCTGTGGCTCTTTCTCTCTCTTCAGCATCCCAAGTGTGTCACTGCCCTCTTCCTCTGGGCCCTTGGCACTGCAAGTCTGGGGAAGTGGAGAGGATGTGAAGAGGGACTAGGTCGGGGGGCAGAGTGGGGAACCCCTTGTCCTGCATGCTCACCTCCCCTGCAGGAACTGAGGTGGGAAATCTCTCACCTGGAGGAGCAGCTGAGTCAGGCCCAGGAGGCACCGGAAGAGTGAGTGGGGAGTGGGGAGACCCAGGTGGGCAGGCTGGCTGTGGCAGCAGGTGGCAGCAGTACCCTCCTGTCTGTGCGGCCAGGCTGCTGGAAGAGGCCCAGGCCAGAGGAGCCAGCTGGACCAGGCCACTGCCCCCATCGCTGGGCCTGGAGATCAAGGCCATTTGGCAGGTAGGCCTGGCACCCCTGGACAACACTGAAGGCCACCAAGACAGAAACCCCAGTGTCTTCCCCACTCTGATGCTCACATTTGGCCTGGACGATGACCCCAAAGTTCCTCACTGCTGCCAAACAGCTTCCCACCCCAATCTCTGCTCTTCTCAAACTCTACCTCAGATTTCCAACCCCAAATCTATTGTCCCAGGCCCCAGCCAAGCCCAGCTCTGACCAAGTCCTGACTCAGGCCTGTCTCATCCACCTCTACGGCGGTCCCCTTCCTTAACCTTGTTCCTCAACCAGACCCTTCCCTGGTCCTGCTTCCACACCTCCAACCCCAGCCTCAGCCCAGCCTTCCCACCTTCCGCTTTCTTCCCAGCCCCACACTGCACCCATCTCCATCCCCGCCTCAGTCCAGCCATTTCTGACCTCAGAAACAACTTCTCCTTCCCAGAAACAAGAAGTGGCAGGTGCCAAGCTCTCTAGTCCCCTGTGTGGAGTGTGGCAGTGGGGAGAGATCACCCGAGAGCCCAGTGAGGAAGCTGAGTTTCCATCTGAAGCCCCAGGTGGGGGACAGGTGAGCAGGGGAGGGCTCAAGGCCCCAGGAGCCCCTTCATGCCTTTGCTTGGCCCCTGCTCAATAAGCAGCTGTTTACTGAGAGCTCCCTGCGTGCTGGGCCTCAAGCCCCAAACCAAACCGGACACCACCCCTGTCCTCTCAGGACAGACCTGCTGCACAGCAAGCGCAGAGCAAGTGGTGGCTTCTATTGTTTCCTTTTTAGAAACACTGCCAGGGATTACTTTATTTAAAATTGTAGCCAGGTGTGCTGGTGCATACCACCTGTAATCCTAGCACTTGGGAGGCTGAGGCAGGGGGATGGCTGTGAGTTCCAGACCAGCCTGAACTACATAGCAAGACCCTGTCTCAAAAAAAAAAAATTGTAGTAGTATAGGACAATAATAAGGAAGTTGTTCATCTTATCACCGTATGGATACTCTAAGCATGTATGTTTTAATGTGAGGCACCTTTAAGAAAAGCTTAGCAATGAGGCCAGGGATTTAGCCCAGTGGTTCTGTCGCCTGCCTCGCAAGTGCAAGGACCCGAGTTTGATCCCTGGTACCAAAAAAAAAAAGAAAGAAAGAAAAAGAAAAGCTTAGCAAGCTGTCAGATCTTGAGCTGAGAAATAATCATTGTTCTGTAATTTCTATAAGTGCCTGAACAGTATTTTAATATCATTTGAAACAAACAACCGAGAAAATCCACAACTGAAAAATGAAATTTTAATCTATTCAGACCAAAAGAATTCTCTTTTTTTGGTACTGGGGATCAAACTCAGGACCTTGCGCTTTCAAGGCAGGTGTCAGAACCACTGAGCTAAATCCCCAGCCCCAAGAATTCTTTTTTTAGGGAAAATATTCACAAGCCAATGTGGTGGTGCACGCCTGTAATCCTATCACTCTGGAGGCAGAGACAGGAGGATAGTCACAAGTTTGAGGCCAGCCTGGGCTACATAGTGAGCTCAAGGCCAGCCTGGACTACACAGCAAAAAACAAAGAAGAAATTCACAGCCGTATAGACAGTGTTGTATTATCTTGAAAACCACAACCTCTTCAAACTGGTCACCATCCGCTCAGTAGCACTTGGGCCTTTGCCCCAGGTTGAGAGGTGACCCTGTGTTTCTCTTTAACACTGCCTGGTTTCCCACTTAATTCTCTTAGCATCTCTGTGAGGTAAGCATTCTCTTTGTTGTTGTTGTTGTTGTTATTGTTGTTGTTGTTGTTGTTGTTGTGGGGGTTTTTTGAAACAAGGTCTCACTATGCAGTCCAGGCTGGCCTTGAACTCTGGAACTCTCAGTGATCCTCCTGCCTCAGCCCCCCAAGTGCTGGGATTACAGGTGTCCACCACCACACCCGGCTGAATTTACTTTAAAGAAAAAAAAGTGCCAGATGTGGTGGCACATGCCTGTCACGCCAGCATTCAGGAGGCTGAGGTGGAGGAACACCACGAGGTCAAGGCCAGCCTGGGCTACATAGCCAAACCCTGTCTCAAAAAAAAAAGGAAAAAAATAGGGGGAGAGAGAAGAAAAAGAAGAGGAGGAAGAGGAAGAGGGAAGAAGAGGAATATTACGTAGTTCAAGGAATGAGGCCTTCCTGGCAGCAGGAACAGCTTTGGGGGCCCAAACACACTAGGGGAGTCCTGGTGGCTCAGGGTGACTGGTGGGAGGAGGCTGGGCCAGGACTGAAAGGAATCAGTCAGCCTGAGAGATTGTGCTGAAGCAAGGAGGGGTCAGCTCTGGGCAGGAAAGACCCCTCTGGGCTGCACAAGGGACCAGCTGGAGTCAGGAGGGCCGCCCCAGGCTGGAGCCACAGAGACAGAGGACAGGGACACACAGGACGATGGGGTGGAGAGGGCTGTGACAGGCAGATTTTGGGGATGAGTGCTGAGAAGAGGACACTGGACTTAAACCTTGCAATTTAAAGCTTGCAACCAGGAGATGACATCCTGAGGGCCACCCGGGGCCACCACAGGCCACTGGGCACACAAGGCTGGAGCCCAGGGAGTGACTGTGCTTGGGTCACAGAAGGGTCACAGAAGGTGCTGGCCTTCTCCTGGGCCAGCGAGCAGGAGAAACTTATGGGCATCAGGCCTTAGGGAACCTTGATTCCTGGGTGCTGCAGAAGAACACATGGGAGAATCAAGAACAACTGTCCTGAGGGCCGCAGATTTAGCTCAGTGGTGCCATCACCTGCCTCACAAGCACAAGGTCCTGAGTTCGATCCCGGTACCAAAAAAAAAGAACAACTGTCCTGTTTGTGTCTTCTGCCCCTGGGAGGGTGACAGAGTGGCCCCAAGTGGGGGACACAAGAAGAAGCCTTAGAAGGTGGTGAATTCACGGGCAGGTTGTACACAGGGTTTGGGACTCAGGGGCAGGGGAGAGCAGGCACCATTGGGGTGGGCATGGGTGAAGCCCAGGGAGAGGGCTCTGAGTGACAGGAGTGGGGGACAGCTGTCCTTTGTGTTCCCACAGAGAAACTCCAAGGGAGAGCCGACGTGCCTTGAAGGATTGGGGAAAGAGCTGTCGATATGGTAGGAGCGCATTCCTCACTGAGCGGCCCTCTGCCTCCCCATTCTCGGATGATGCCACCCCTTCACCCACTGGAGCCTTGCTGAGGGGCCCCAGCCCTGTGGACCAGAGATGGGTCAGACCCTGAGTGTCTCCTGCTCTGGGGACTTAGACTGGATGGGACAGTTCTGGGGGAGATGAGGCACCCAGAGGTGACCCCTCAGGGGCCCTGTAGGCCCAAGGAGTGGGTATAGGAGCCGTGTAGACAGGAAGCAGGGTGGTCAACCTCCCCCTGAGCACACATCTTCCCAGTCCTCCAGGGAGGCCCAGGGGGAATGAGACCTCCATGGGGCTTGGAGTCCCTCTGGACCCGGCCTCGGTTACTTCACAGTGGGGTTGGGGAGGAGTCCAGCTGTATCCCTGAAGTGCCAGTGTGGCGACTGCTGCGTGGTTGTCACAAAGCTGTGTCCAGGCCTCTGAGCAGGCAGAAAGGGTTAGCCGTCCGGGCCCACCCGGGACCTCTGGCTTCCGGTGGTGTCTCCCCACCCTCACCCTTCAGTCTCCCAGGCGGTGACTAATGAGGCTGCCAGCCGCGGCCTCTAATTGGATTTGTCTGGGGAGAGCTGAGATCGGGCGGGCTGGGGGCTCCGGAGCTGTGCCCTCCCTGCGTCATCCAGAATGGAGAAGGAGCTGAGCCCAGCGTGGGGCAGGGCTGGCGCCGAGTTTCCGGAGAGGCTGGGAGCCTGGGAGTGAGGAAGGTGGCCAGCACTGTGGGTTGAAAGCTTGACCTTGACAGGTTTGGGGGCCTAAACTGCCTGGGTCCCAAGTAGAAGTTTCGGGAGATGGGACAGCTGAGTGTCTGGGCTCCCGGGGCCTGATGCTGTGTCTCTGAGCGAGCAGCCGGTGCCCAGTGAGGGCAGTGACTGGCGGTGTGGACGTCGGTGCTAGAGAACTCAGTCTGCGGGGAGGCATCTAAGGGGCTCAGCTGGCTGTGCCCTGGAAGGAGCAGAGGCTTTAGAAGTGACTAGGTGGGGGCAGAGCTCAGGGTTGGACCTGAGGGTGGGGAGACCTGAGCTGGAGCTCCGGGCCTTAGAGACCGAGTAAGACTGAGGCTGGGAGACTGGCACAAGCTGTTAGATAGCGGCGTGGTGGGTGTGCACGAGCCACAGGGCGCTAGGGTGTTGCAAGTGGGAGAAGCAGAAGCCTCTGATGAGAAATCACCTGGAAAGTAGCAGAATTCTGCTGTAAAATAAAGACGATCCCTTATCATTTGAGGGGGTCACAGCCTGGAGAGTTTGATGGAAATTCCTCTGAAAAGCACTGCAGTATGCAGGACACCCCGGGCCTGCTGGGCCCATCTGTGCTGCTGTAAAGGCTCCCTACCAGCCCCCGGGGCCAAAGGGAGCCAGGCCAAGGGGATGCCTTGGAGTGACTTCCTTGGCCCTCAGGTTGCCTGGAAGAGAGGAAGAGGAGGCAGAGGAGGAAGCGAAGAGCCAGCTCATGGTAGGCAGTCCTGGAACCCCTTCCGGTCCCCTCATTCACTCCAGGCCCCAGGCTGACTAACGCCTCCCAGCCCCCACCCCTGCCCAACTCCTCCAGAGCAGAGAAAAATCAGAAAACTCATTGGGCCGGGAGATAACGAGGCCTTCACAGAGGCTGAGAGGGAGGGATGGTGAGGTGGGGGGGCCTGGAGGGAGGCAGCCACACCAACGGACTGCTTAAAAGCACACGCACAGTACCCACCTGCTGCGGTGGGGGGCTGCCTCCCCAGCTGCCCCATCTCCCCGGAGCCCCCACTCCTCCCTGTGAGGGGGACTCTACGACCCAAACTCAGTCACCGGGAGCAGGGGAAGGAAACTGGGTGAGAAGCCCACGCTCTTCAGCTGAGGCGTGCGAGCCAGCCTGGCCATGTCCCTGCCCCTGTCAGGACACTGGCAACCCTCTGGGGCCCAGACTGGCCAAGATGGTGCCCTTGGGGAAGCTGTGCTCAGAGGGACCTGGCCCCAAAGCCCCCCACACTCCCTGCCCCGACAGTGCCAGCTCAGCATCCTCGAAGTTGGTGCAGTGACAGTCCCATGCCTGGCACAGCAACTTGCGGGGGTGAAGACAGTGGGTGGGGACAGTCTCCTGTTCTTGTTGGCTTATTGGTGTTGTCATCATCATCCCTGGCACAAAGCTGTGGGGGTAGGAAGGTCCAGACCTGTGAGAAGACCCCCTAGCAGAGACCCAGGCATGAGGTGGCCGAGGCCTGGGCACAGGCAGGAACATTCTGAGGCCCACACAGGAAGGCAGGCCTTGCCCTTGCAGAGGAGCAGCCACTGCTTCGGCAGTTTAGAAACTCTGGGAACCAGGTGGGACATGAAGGTGGTAATGCGAGGAGCTCAGTTGTGAGTGCTTATTGTGCCCAGCCCTCTTCTGAGCCTTTCCCACTTTTTTTCTTCCTTTTTTTTTTTTTTTAAATTGAGACAGGGTCTTGCTATGTAGTTCAGGTTGGCCTTGAACTTGCAGTGATCCTCCTGCCTCAGCCTCCCAAGTGCTAGGATCACAGGCATGTGCCACCACGCCCAGCTTCCTGCCTTCACTCTTCTAGTCTCCATGGTTACCCTATGAGGTGGGGACTGTCACATCCCTGACAGCTGGATGGGTAAAGTGAGGCATAGAGAGGCGTGGCATGGCCTGCCAAAGGGTACATGGCCAGAAGTGGCAGAGCTGGGACCCCCACCTGACATCATGTTCCAAAGAAGCTCCCACACCAACCCCAGTGGCTGCTGCCTCCTGTGTAGTCACTGTGTCCAGGGGCCAGTGCCACAGGGCTGTCTCCTCTGTCCTCCCAGGCTGACCTGACCATCCTTCTGAGAGACCCTCACCCTGGAGACATCCCAGGACGCTCTCCTGAGAGGTAGTGGGACCCACAGGGACTGGAAGGGACTTGGGGACAGACAGCCAGGCGTTATTCTTTCCGATCTGTCCCTCCACAGTCCTGATGAGCTGGCACTCCAGCAAGCCTTGGTGCCCGTGGTGAAGGAGCTGGTCCAAGTCGGGCGGCCCTGGGGCCACCACTGCCTGTCCCTGTTATGTCCCCAGCCACCCAGGTGCGCAGCGTCTCCAGACACAGGGAGGTGGCCAGACCCGGGGCAACTGTGGCTCCCATGCTAAGCCCTCTCCTGCCTCCCACTAGGGCCGCTCAGCACCCACTGCTCCCTGCCCGGGTCCTGGGCCCTGTGCTGCTGCTGCTGCTGCTCCTGCTCTCAGTACTGCTGCTGGGCCAGGCCCTGCCACCCACCTGGCCCCACCTGCAGCTCTGCTACCTCCAACCACCACCAGTGTAGGCACGATGGCCCCAGCCCAGCTCAGTCAGTCCTGGTGCTGCCTGCCGGTGTCCGCACACCTAGAGCCGGTGCAAGGGCAGCCTCATCCCTGTGCTGGGTTTTTATGTGAAGTCTCCTGATTTCCCCCTGCTGCAACTCCATTTCTTAACAGAAACAAAATGCCTCCAATAATGGCTTTGGTGCTGTGGACAATTTATTTCCTCACCACACGAGGCTGGAGTGGGGAGGGCCATGTGGACAGGCCCTCTGTGACTCTGTGACCCTCCCCTCTGTGCACTGGGGGCCATCCGCAGACCACTGGGTTTCTGCCCTGTGCATCATCAGCCTGACTTGGAAGGGCTTGAGGGCTCCAATTTCTCCCTCCTTCCTACCTTGTCTCTACCTCCACCCTGCCCCACACCGGGTCCTGACTGTCGTGCCACTGCCCCATGGCTAGGAGCCTGGGCTGGACCTGCCCTAACTACATCCTAGGGCTGTAGTGGGCTGTCTTCCACCTCCCACCAAAGCCCTCCCCTGGTTAATGCTGTCCATCTTCATAGCTTAGCTTTGCTGCAGTGTAATGCTGAAAACCCCTTCCCACCCTGAGCTGGAGGAGACAGGAGTGGGGAGTGGATGGACCCTGAGAACCCTCTCCTCAAAATTAGATCACTGGCACCTGGCCCTGTGCCCAGCACACAGGCATCGAACTGGGGTTACGCAAAGGGTTCTTCCCAGCTAAGTCGCACCTGCGTTCGGCCTTGGAAGATGGTGTGGCCCGGTTACTGTGACTAGGGGAGGCATGGTCACAGGCACAGGAAGTCTGCGAAGACCAGGCACGGTGGGAAACAGACCCACCTGCAGGGGTTTGGTTTGCTTTGGTTTGGTTTTGGTTGTTTGTTTTTCTTGCAGCCTGGGAAGGATTTGAGGGTGCATTGTGGTGGGAAGTGAAATAAAGAGGTGGGAGAAAGTAGAGTAAGGGAAGAACCCAGGCGGGTTCCCAGCTGCTAGGCCCTGGAGTGGAGCGAGGTCAGGAGAGCTGTACAAGCACAGCAGGAGAAGAGCGCCGGGCAAGCAGCGACTGCTCTAGCTGTGGAATCCCATGTCTTCCTAGAGTAGTGGGGAACCCTGCATCTTTGAAATTACACACATTTGGATTCCATTTATCCTTCTGCCCCTTGCTGACAACTTGAGAAAATTACTCCTAACTTTAAATCTTGTTTATTTGTAAAATTAGGCCAACTCCCCGTGGTTGTAAGGAATACTTATTCCTTCGTTATTTCGTACCGGGGATCGAACTCTCCACCTTGCACTTGAGAAGCAGGCGGCTGCACCACTGAGTTAAATCCCCGGCCCTCCTTCGTTATTTCTGAATGACTGCGGAGACAGTCCCGCCCCCACAGCCTAAGGACCAATGAGGGAAGATCTTGCCAGCACGCGCCAGCCACGCCTCTTTACGTGAGGTCCAGCCTCCTCCCTTTTAGACCATTCGGAATACGGTCCGCACGAGCTGTGCCCCTACTCCTTGTCTTCCAGGGCACGAGTGGAAGCCCTCCGCGTCCCGCCGGGAGTGTGTGGCTGGTCAGCGTTGAGGGGCGGGGCCTCCAGGGTGAGAAGCGGGTTCTGATTGGCTGCTTCCTCGCTTCTTGCTTCACCTGCTGCCCAGGTGACTCCCCGCCCCCGTGCCAGCCTGGCGCCCCCTGCTCTCCCCGGAAGGTCGCAGTCGGAAAACTCTGAGAACCAGGAGGAAAGGCTGTTTCTAATTAGGATTTTTCTGCGCGTCGGGCTGTGCTGAAGCACTGTACAGTACAGGGTCTGGCTTAATCCTCGTTACAGACGAGGAAAAGCAGGCGCAGAGAGGCTTAGAAGCTGCATTCCTAGGGAGAAGTCTAGAGGCCGATGAGGGGTAACAGCAAAACTGAGAGAAAATGAGGGCTGAAGGAGAGAGAATGGAGAGCCGAAGGCAGAAGGAAACGAAGTCATGAGAAAGCCAAGCAGAGAAAAGAGGCAGGGTGCTTAAAAAGGGAAGAGTTTCGGAGACGAAAGAGTCGAGAGGGGAAGCAGAGTTGTCCAGAGGGCCAGGGAGGACACCCAGAAAGGAAAGAGACCCAGAGAAGGGGCGGAGACGCAGAGGGGGACAGAGACCGTGAGGTGACAGAACCAGAAACGGCAGAGACAGACGCGGTGCAAAGGAACAGGTCCAAGGTGAGAGGAACTGAGTTGGCTGGGCAGGACCAGGTCCGGAGGGAGGAAGGAAGCTGGCTTCCAAGAAAGAATTGGGCCGGGCGGGGGGGGGGGGGCTCAGTTAAAAGCTGGGTATGGTGGTGCACACCTGGCGTCCAGGCACTCGGGAGGCTGAGACAGGAAGATCGGTGCTAAATTGAGGCCAGCCTGGGCTACATAGCGAGACCCCGTCTAAAAAGGGGGGGTGGAGGGGCCGGGGATTTAACTCAGTGGCGCCTCGCCTGCCTCGCAAGCGCAAGGTCCTGAGTTCGATCCCCGGTACCGCAAAAAATAAAAAAATAAAAATAAAAAAGGGGGTGGGGACGGAGGGGCGTGACGCCAAGAGCGGCCGGCGCAGACCCCACACAGAGGCACAGGAGGCGGCGCGGGGCGAACGGTCTTTATTGGCGGCTCAGGGAGCGTCCAGCAGCAGCAGCCGGTGCATATACGAGTTCAGCCAGTGGCGGCGCTCGAGGGCGGCCAGCAGCCGCGCGCGCTCCCGGAAGGCCGCGTCGTCCGCCAGCGCCAGGCTCCGCCTCGACGCCGGGGTAGCCGGACCGGCCCGGGCCTGGCGGGGGGTGCGGGGGCTGCGCGGAGTCGGGGCGGCCAGGTTACCTCGTGCCCGGGCCCCGCCCGCCGAATCTCCCTGCGGTCGGACTCGGAGCCCGGTTACAGCACCCGGCGGGGGCTCTGCCTCCCCTGCCTTTGTCCCCCACCAGTGCCCCTCTGCTCCCTCAGTTCGAAGCGCCGTGAGGACCCAGACCGAGTCCGCCCCGAGCGCTCAGCTCGCGGCCTGGCACAGTCCACCGTGCAACGAAATGAGTCGGTGTCCAGTCTCCGCCGCTCGCCCACGTCTGTCCTTGCACCCTTCTCCTGTCCATCCTCCGCCCCCTCCCCTTCTCCCTCCGCGCCTGCCGGACTCTGGCCTCCCCTCCCTGGATCCCAGCCCTCTCTGGGCCTCTTTCTTGTTCCCTTTTCTCCAGGTTCCCTCCCTCCCATGGGAGTCCTGGGCCTGGTACCTACCTGAGGACCCCCGCGGGGGGCAGAGCGACCCCTGAGGCGGTGAGGATGCCCCAGGGCGCGAGCAGGAGCAGCAGCAGCAGCAGCAGCGGCGCCCGGGGGCTCCCGCACACCTGGCGAGTCTCCATCACCTGTGGGGAGAGGAGGGGCTGGTGAAGTCCTCGTCCGAGCCCGGATCCCGGCCCGGTCCCGGCCCGCCTTCCGCCCACCCCCAGGCCACCCGCAGGCCCCTACCGCGCAATGGGCTGGGGAGGCCGCGGACAGCCCCCTTATATCGCCTCCCAACCCCCGCATGGGCAGTGACGCAGGCCGGGCCGGGGGCGCGGGGTCACCTCCCCCCAGGCTCATTAGGAGGCGCTGGCGGTAATGAGGAGCCGGGGGTGGGGGCCCTGCCACTGCTTGGCCGCCACCAACTAATTGGGACCGTGAGCTGGGACCTGAGATGAGGGAGGGGAAGAGACAGAGGTGGTCACAGGGGGTGTGTCAGAGGGATAAAAATAGAGGCTGTGGAACGACTATGAGAGCACAAGTCAGAGACAGAGAAAGAGACAGAGAACAAGAGAGAGGAAGCACTAGTGACAGGAAGAGACACAGAGGGGAGGGGTAACCAGGAGAGGAAGGACAAAGGCAGACCAGGGAGGGGAAGGGGATTAAGAAAGGGAGAGCAAGAAAGGAGATAGAGGCAGAGGGGAAAGGCTCTCAGACAGACAGAAGGACAGAGGAAGGACAGCAGCCCCGCCCAGAGAGAACAGAGACTGGAGAGCTGGGGAGGGAGAATGGGCAGAGGCAGCAAAGAGCACGTGTGTGGCAGGGCTGTGAGGACAGGTGACACGACAGGCAAACTCAAAACCTCAGAGAGCCTGGGACAGACTGTTAAGTGGGGACACAGTCAAGGACCCTGAGTTCCAGGTGGGAGTTGGAATATTGTGACAATAAAGCACAATCCACACACTGACTCTTAGGAGGATTTTAACTCATGACCTTATGCTTTCGAGGCAGGCACAGTGCCACTGAGCTAAATCCTCAGCCCCTGTTTGTTTTGTTTTGAGACTGGGTCTGGCTATGTAGTCCAGGCTGGCCTTGAACACACAACGATCCTCCTGCCTCAGCCTCCTGAGTGCTGGGATTACAGGCTTGAGATCCCCACACCTAAAAGGAGACTTCTTCACACACAATGGGTATGTGGACAAAGGTCAGAAGCCGTAAAGGGTAGGGGCAATCCGGGCCATGGGAACCTGGACTTCTAGTTCCTGAGAGAAAGGAGACAGAGCTTGGACTCCTAGGCCTAAGAGTGGCTGAGACCAGGGCCCAGACTCCTGGGTCTGAGCAGAGGGGACTGGAGACTGAGGCTCAGGGCAGCTAAAGTAGGAAGTGACCAGGGACTTAAACCCTTGGGTCGGGGAGGAGAGGACAGAGGACCCTTGGTTTCAAAGACAGTTTGTGTGGGTGACATCTTCTCCCCACATCATCCAGCTTGGAACTCCCTTCTCCACCCCAGAGGCAGTGCCGTTCATCTCTGCCCCTTTAAGAGACTCAGTGCGTTGCTAGGCTCCCAGGATCTCCAGGGAGGGGGTCAGGTGCGTCACCTGTGCACCTATGGGACCCTCTGCTGCCCCGCCTGGAGCCAGTCTGCAGCATTCACCTGTTTCTGCATCCAGCTCCGTTCACTGCTGCTACCTTGGACCCCCCTGAACAGGTAAGAGACCCCAAGCCCCCAGCACCGCTGTCCCATACAGGCATCTACAGCCTCCACCTCCACCTTCCCACATACCGTGCCTGAGTTCAGAACAGCCCAGGACACTGAGCATCTGCTCCGTCCTCAGTAAACAGGGAGCCTAGAGTTCCACCCACACCAGGCTTCGGATCCCCAGCCCCTGTTTCTGAAGGACCCAGGACTCAGGGATTCCAAACCCCTTCTAACTCAGGGTCCAGGACCAACACCCAGCCCCACTTCCCTCAGGCCTTACCACTTGGAAAGCGTGGACATCTGAACACCCAGGTTCCTAACCTCCGGAACAAGCAGGGATGTAGACCCTCAGCCCCTCTCCCTAGCGGGCTCAGGAGTCTGAACCCCCAGCAACCTCCACACCCTCAGAGCCCCAGCGCTTCCTCCTGAGCCTTCTCTGTGTAAACAACCTTGAGTCTAGGTGTCCTGGGGGCCCTGGGAGAGGAAGGTGACCCCTGTCCCCTAGAGGTCTGACACCCTCCAAAGCTGCAGTCCAGGATTTGTGAGGGCTTGGAAAGATATCATACTTTTCCAATTTTTCTGGCATCCCTCGGGGAAACAAGGAAATTATCTGCGCCTTGGAAGTAGCCGGCGCCTTGGAAGTAGCCGGCGCCCCTGCGTCCCTCGCTCTGCTACTGACCCGGAGTTCGGGCCGTTGCAGAGGGGCTCTGCTCCCTTCCCTGGTGCGAAGCTGGGCCCTACGGACCGGTCCACCTGGGAGCAAACTGGTGCATGGAGAGGACTCCGGGGAGGGCCCCCCGGGGGGGGGGGTCCTCTGGGGAGTGGGCGGGGCCTCGAAGTGGGCAGGACTCCGAGAGGCTTTGGCTTTAACCTTTCCTTTCCTTTTCCCCTCACAGCTAGAGGCATCTCCCAACACTATGAAATCTTTCAGTCCGATCCTCTTCCTTCTGGTCTTCTTCCTTGCCCTCCTGGGCTCCCAGGCGGCACCTTCAGCCCCTCTGCCCCTGGGTTCTGACTTCCAAGGGATGGGCCGCCCCGGAACGACCTCCCCCGGCGCTTCTGAAAACGCCACTGGAGACGGGCCTAACCCACAGCACCCTGTGACTGTTCCTCCTGAGGCCCCGAAGATGCCTCATGCAGTTTCCCCTGAGACCACCCCCCTTAATGTCACTGAGACCCCTAGGCCTGATCTAGAAACCCCACACCCACAGTCTCCTGAGACCCCCCAGCCTGGCCCACTCACAACCTCAGTATCAGAATCCCCGGCCACCCCCCACCCTAACCCCTCCCAAGCAACACACCCAGAGCCTTCTGAGGAGACCCCCGACCCTGCCCTGACAGACACTCCACACCCCGGATCCTCTGAGACCCCAAAACCTAGTCCCTCAAAAACGACACCCCCAGAATATCTTGAGACCCCAAATACTAACCCTATGCAGACCGCACACCAAGAATCCACAGAGATCCCCAGACTTAACACCACTGAAATCTCACGTGTTAAAGGCCCTGACCCCACCAAGCCTCTTGACACCAAATCTCTAGAAGCCCATGATCCGGACACCGCTGAGACCCCAAGCTCTCAGTTCCCCCTGACCGTCCGTCCTGAGCCCACTGAAACCCTGCACCCAGAGACCCACAAGACCCATCACCCCAGCCCCACCGACACTCCCCAAACAGAGCCTCCCACAACCCACCACCAGGGTCCAACCAAGACCCCAAAAACTTCTGCCCTTGAAGTCTCCACTAGTCTCCACCCCGAAACCCCTGGACCCTTCAAGGACACAGCCACTGTACTCAGTGAGCTGCAGCCCAGTCCCCAGGCAGACACCCGTGCGGGCCCCCAGCCTGACCCCTCTCAACTGCCCACCCCAGATTCTCCAGCGACTCTTGAGACAAAGGCCCCCCAAAACTCTGACCCCAAAGGGCAAAGCACCCCTCTGCCCTCAGCCCGGATTGTGGGCCCCCCTGCTCCTCCAGAGCCACCCAGTCAGCTGCTCCCTGCAACTCCTTGGGCTCCTCAGCGGCGCAGCCGAGGCGAGAGAGTGAACACTATCATCGTGGTGGAGCACGTGAAAGAGACCGGTGAGGGGAGGAGCGCGAAGTGGATCTGAGGGAGGAGGCCGGGCCGCACCCCAGGTCTGAGGGAGAGTGGGCTAGGATCTCAAATCACTGGGCTCCTCCCTCAGGCGTGACTCTAGTGGGGCGCCCACGCGGCTCGACTGGAGGGGCCCTGTGCCTGTTCTTTGCTGGGACCGGGCTTTTGATCTGCATCTTGCTGCTGCTGTGGTGTCTCTACCGGCGGGCAGCCCGGCACCGGCCCTTCGCACACCACCGGCTCCCGGACAGCGGAGACGAACCCGGTAAGTGCTGTGTTCCCTTGAACGCCCCGCCTTTTTCCCCATCCTCGTCTCGATGGACATTTTCTGGCTCCAGAAAAAAAAAGTACAGGTCCGCCATCCAATCAGCGAATGACCCCTCCATGATCACGTCCGTCCCTAATGATCTGAGATGTCACACAAGCGCCCAGGTCCGGCCCCAGCCCAGGTGAAACCAGCCCAGAGCCCAGAGCCTCCGTGGCTGCGAGCTGACCCACCCCACCCGGGGCGCACTGGGCGCCCCGGGCCCCGCCCCTCGCCTCAGGCCCCGCCCCTCCGCAGTTCCCTTCGCCTCCTCCACGATCTGGATCCCGTCAGGGCTCCTCATTGGCCAGAGGCCTAGCAGCGGGACCGGCCCGCCGAGGCTGGGGATGACTCCTCCCCTTTGCTCCCACAGTTATGCACCTGGACGCCCCGAAGGACCCCTACAACCTCTACTTTTATGCGCCAGATGCCTGGGTCCCTTCGCACATCTCCACCAAGCAGCCGCCGCCCACACCCCCGCTGCCACCCAAGCTGCCCCCGCCGCCCCGCGGGGGACGCCCCCAGCGCCTGGAGCCGCTGTCCCCTGATACACTCCCCAACAACTTCGTGTGAGCCCCTTCCGGTCCCTCCAGGCCTGCACATTCCCAAGAGGGAGGGGACTCTTGGGTGCTGTCCTCCTGGATGCTTCGCTACTTAGTGAGCCTCTTGGATATAGTGTCCAGCAGAGATGCTTTCCTGGCAATCGGAGAACACCGCTGAATAAACCCGATGTCCCCATGGCTATGCCTCCTCTGGCCTGGGGGGGCGGGGGGGGTCCCACTGGGATTGGAGTCTGCTGGGATTGGGACTGACTTTCTCTTTGGAGAAAGGAAGGGGCTAGGAGCTGGGATGCCTGGTCTGAGGGAGGAGGCTGGGCCAGACCCCTGGTCTGAGGGAGAGGGTGGGGCCCAGCACTCCTGTGACCCACAGTCAGTGACCACTCAGTGTACACCAAAGCATTTTATTGGGAGTGGGGCTGGGCAGGATTTACAGTCACAGAGACAGAAACATCAAGACACAGCCCTGCCCAAGGATAAACACCCCTCTCCCCAGCCCCCTTCTCTTTCCTGGGATTCTGTGTCTTCTACCTATGTTCCCAATTTCTAGACTGAAGGAGGGTTGTGTGAAAGGGGAAAAATCCCAGACTTTTAAGTCATTTAGCCCCTTAGGGACACAACAAATGGCCACTGAGAAACAGGGTAGTCTGAAACCACCCAGAGAATAAAGTGCAAGGAACTAGGCAGGAAAGGGGCATCTCAAAACCACCAGGGGGAAGTTCAATGGTGGTGGCTTCAAACCACTGAATTAATAGACTTGAGCAGCCACTACTTAGACCTGAAAATTGTATCAGAGAAAGTGCACGGGGTGGAGAGAGGCATATTGTTAAAACGGCCGTTTTGGTTGTTTCCCCTAGGCATGGCACAAAGCTAGGGACAAGATGGGGGAACCTGGTGCTTCAGCAGAACCTGCTGGGGGTGGGGGCTTGAAACCGCCATTTTCCCTCAGAAACGCTGGTGAGAATCAATCCCTGGAATGGCGGGGATGGGTGATTGGTTAACCTAACCTGGGAGATGCAGAACGGAGTCAGGAGAGATTTGGAACTTCTAGAGGACGACCTTGAATTTTTCTGAGAGGGGGCGCTGAGTAATCTCAGGGATCAGCCCGAGAATCCCTAGGATCAGAGGAAAGGAGGAGTTGCCTCAAAACCACAACAGTACAGGTTGGACTGTCCATTCAAATAAAGCCCTGAAAGGAGAGATTTGAAACCACTGAGGCAGCACAAATGAAGAAGGAAACTTTAGAGGAATTTGGGTATCCTTGAAACCGCCAGACTGCAGCTTCACTACCCCTGAGAGGCAGTTGGGAAGGGAAGAGGTTCTGACATTACTGGGATGGAGGGAGAGTGCTTCTTAGGCCTGAGGCAGAACAGAGAGGACTGGGGTCCCGTGACACAGTCACTCAGGCCAGAGATGTATGGAGTGGAGGTCCTGGAAACTGCCATTCAGTGGGAGGCACATGGTCAGTAGTCCCGGACAGGGGGTGGGGGCCTTGGGGGCTGAACTGTGCTGTGTGTAGCCCCATAGGAAGGAGGTGGGGCAGGGGGAGCCCCAGGAGGCTCAACCTCATCCTCCATTTCACTCTCGTCGCTGCCAGCCAGCTGGTCGTGGCCGACGAAGCCACACTTCTCCTCGCTCATCTCCTCCGGCTCAGCCCACGGCTGCTTCTCCCCGGAAGCGAAGACCCCGTAGAAGATGACGCCCCCGTAGTGCACCAGGGAGGCGATGAGGAACACGTACTGCCACTCCTCCCTCGTCTGTGGAGGACCACAGGGGTGGGGTCAAAGGAGGGGACAGCGAGGCGGGGTGCAGCGGGAGCTGGCAGGCGCCTACCTTGTGCTTGGTCATGGCCCCCACGATGATGGGGCACACCATGCCGGAGAGCGTGCCCACGCCGTTGGAGATGCCCATGAGGATGCTGGCGTAGCGCGGCGCGATGTCTAGGTGGTTCACGTTGAACCCTGGCAGGAGACAGGCAGGAGGATCACACCGGGCCCTCCTGACTCCCTCTTGTGGGTGCACTCCTTCGAGGCAGAGAGCGCCGTCCGGAGCTGACCAGAGCCCCCAACTGCAGATCTGAGCTTCTCACCCGAGATGGCGAAGCCGCTGAAGCCCACTGCGAGTACCAGGAAGGAGATGGCGACGCCCTTGGAGTGCGAGTAGCCGACCACCAGCAGCAGCGTGGCTTCCATGCCGAAGCCTGCAGAGAGCCGGGTCTACTGAGCGCCTCCCAGGCCTAGACACAGATCCCCCCTTCCACCAGCCCCGTCCACGATCCCCAGGCCGGCCCGCTGGAGATCCAGGATCCAACCCCGATCTGTGCACCTTCTCACCTTTCCTCTCTGCTCCCACTCAATAGGCGGCTCGTCCTCTCAAGACCCCAACTCATAGCCCCTTTCTCCCTAGTCCGTGCCCCGCTCTGCGCAGCCCGGTGCTGGCCTCTCACCCTTACACCCTCAGTTCACTCAAGCGGTGGCCTCAGCTTGACGCGGGGCGTTCGGCTCCGTGCAGCCCCGCCCTCACCCTGGCTCCGTCCAATCAGCTTCGCCCTTGACCAAGGCTGTGACCACTCCCCACCCCCTCGGCCCGCCCATTGGTTATGCCCCCTCCCGCCGCGTGCGCTCTCCGCCTGAGTAGACCCAGGCCAAAATTGGGGTCCCGCCCAGGCCACGCCTCTGCCACGCCCACTCACCTCCGCAGTTCATCAACTTGCGCACGTTGGTGGTGGACATGATGCGGCGGCTCCGCAGGAAGTCGGCGATCTGGCCGCCGATGGGCACGATGATTGTCATGACCAGGTGGGGCAGCGCCGACACCAAGCCCACCTGCACAAGCAGGGCACAAGTTTGCTGGCAGGGCCTCAGGGGCTGCCACTCAGGCCTCGGCTCCCTGGGCCTCCATGCAGGCCCCGCTCCCGTCTCCTCTCCTCCTGCTGGGCCCTACCTTGCTGATCTCGAAGCCGAACACTTCTTCAAAGTAGGCGGGCTGGGAGATGAGGAGCAGGTAGAAGGTCCAGCTGCGGCAGAAGTTGGCGACGATGATGGCGTAGACTGGCATGGACGTGAAGAAGCGCCGCCAGGGGGTGTTAAACTTCTGGGGGTGGAAGGGGCCGCTGAGACAGAGCCCAGGGCTGGGGACTTCGCCAGGTCCCTTGGGGACCTCACTAGACTCGAGCAAAGACCCAGGGACTCTGATCTCGTGAGACCTTAGGGAACCAAGGGCGTCGGCCACATCACATCCTAGGCAGTGTCACGTCCATGACAGTTCAGGGATTCGGGGCTGGGGTCTGGCTCACCGTGACCCCTCAGGCTTGCGGGTGTCTGGGCCCCACAGTAACCCACGGGTCCCATAAACGTGAGCCCAGGAGTCTTTCTCTATTCCATCGTGCCCCTTAAATGAAGCCTCACTCACCCGAAGAAATAGCAAATCCCCATTTGTTGCCTTTTGAGACAGGGTCTCCCTATGTGTTCCAGGCTGGCCTTGAATTCACTATGTAGCCCAGGCTGGCCTGGAATTCGTGGCGATCCTCCTGTCTCAGCCTCCTGAGTGCTGGGATCACAGGTGTGCACCACCACGTCCGGCCACATTCTGATCCCTACATTCTAACCGGGTCTCTTCTGCTTTTAACCACGCTTCATCCGTGCTTCTAACTTCGACCACCCTTGACAAGCTCTCCCCCACCGCGCGATATCGAGATCTCAGGTTCTAGCCCCCTTCTCTCTGGGGTCCAGTGCTGTCTTCTCTGAGAGTCTGCAGGAACCCGCCGGGGCCTCCCCGGGGTCCAGGCTCCACCCCGGCTATCCATTCCGCCCGCCCCGCCCCGCGCACTCGGCCCGGACCTTGAGGGGGTTCATGAGCTTGGCGCTCTCGCCGATGGCATCCTCGATGTACTTTCGCTCCTCCTCCGAGATGCTGGGGTGCAGGGCGGGGGACTCATAGGAGACTAGCAACCAAAACAGGTACCAGAAGATCCCGAAGCTGCCTGAGGGGTCAAGAGGGGGACGGGAGCCAGGTGATGACAGGTCCCGCTCCGCCCAGAGCCACCTGGAGACAGGCGTCCAGGTTCCTCACCGTAGACGTAGAAAACAGAGCTCCATCCCGAATACTGCACCAGGACCCCAGCGAGAGGCATCGCGACCACTGCCCCAGCGTAGGAACCTAAGGGGTTTGAGGGTGGACAGAGAACGCGCCCATATTCCCCGGATCCTGGGATGAGGACCCCCAGCCCTCGCCTTTCCGGAACACAGAGGTTCAGGCCACGGCCCCCTCCTCGCTCTCAGGAGCTATGTCCCATTCTCCCTTCCTCTCACCGCAAAAGGCTGTCGTCGCCAGACGACTCCGTTCTAAGGGTGGGGCCCATTTGCTCCAGATCCCGTGGCACGCGGGGTACGTGACTCCCTGGGAAGGAGAAAACCCAAGTTAACGAGAAGAGGCGGGGGCGAGGGCGGGCCGGGCGTAAGAGTCTGGGCTTTACCTCTACCAACCCCTGCAGGATCCTCACGAAGATGACACAGCCGTAGTGGACGCGAGCGGCCGACGGAATCAACATGTTTAGAGTGGAGGTGGCCACAATGGCAAAGCCGAAAACCCTGATTCGAAGGCGGGAGAGAGGGGCCCAGCTCTCCCGCCATCCCTGGGACTCTGCCCTTCCTGCGACTCCACCTTCTCGGTGATTCCCACCTGCCACAATCGCAGGCTCCGCCCCAGCCCCGCCCCTCCCGTCTCCTCGAAATCAGACCTCCCCCTTCAAGCTCACACTGACTCCACCCACACAACTGAAGCTCCCGCCCACATTGAGACCCCACCATGGTACCTGTTGGCTGCGAATTTTTGGCAGATGAATCCTCCAGGAATCTGGGTGACAATGTAGCCCCAGAAAAAGGAGCCATGTATGAGGCCAACAGTTTCTGGATCCCAAGAGAACTGGGCTTTCTGCGGACCAAAAGGGATATTAAACGAGCCGCCCTGCCAAAATTCTGCCCTCCACCAACCAGCAACCCGCAGACGTAGCACCTCAGCCAATCAGCGGCAAGGCATCCCTCAGGCCTCCGAAACACCTGCCAATCATGGCTCGCGCCATCCGCCTGTCAGAGTCGACAAATTGCTCTTCACGTTGCTAGGGCCGGTGCTAGCACCTTAACAACGGGGCCTGTGGCTGCCTAGAAGCCTGGTGTGGCCTGCTG